CGAAAAGTACACTGTGTTAATTTTGTTGAAAAATTCCAAATAATTTTTTTTTTTTATTAACAATGGAAAATTTTTGCAGTGTTTTGGAAATTTTTATTTTTCTTTGAAAGTAAGTGTCCGAATGAAAAAATCTTTTTGGTGTAGATTTAAGAAACATTAATCTTTTCAATAATTTTTTTATAAACAATTGAACATTTAAACAATTTCTGCGCCTCGTGGACGAAAATGTTTAACAACAGCTTATGTAATAAACATTTCTGCATTTATCTATGAAAAAAATGCGTGCATTTCGATATAGTTTGGTCGGAATGAATTTTTATTTGCCAGGGTGCGCGCCCGACTCCCGCGGGCATGCGAAATTCGAGCATGAGAAATAAAAGTGGAACGATGCATTTCTTTCTTGTGCAAGAAGTCAACGTCAACGGATTGCGCGGAAGTCGGGCGCGCACGCTGGCAAATAAAAATTCATTCCGACCAAACTATATCGAAATGCACGCATTTTTTTCATAGATAAATGCAGAAATGTTTATTACATAAGTTGTTGTTAAAAATTTTCATCCACGAGGCGCAGGAATTGTTTAAATGTTCAATTGTTTATAAAAAAAATATTGAAAAGTAAACAAAAAATATTTTTGTAACGGAAATAATTTTATTTTATAGTTTAATGCTTGCTAAATCTGCACCCAAAAAATTGTTTCGTTCGGATACTTACTTTCACAGAAAAATAAAAATTTCCAAAACACTGCAAAAATTTTCAATTGTTGATTAAAAAAGCTATTTGAAATTTTGCAACAAAATTTACACAGTGTACTTTTCGACTAAAAAACTCGGCGCTGCTTGAATATCATTGAAAAATATTAATCTTGGTAAATTCGGGGCCCACTTGAGGAAGCCTTACCCAAATATTAACCACATTTTTGTTTACATTAAACAAATTTTTGGTTGCCGATTTACGACATACATACGTATTTGTTTTCAAATGTTCAACTGGAATCACATTTCTTACAATCGGTGTATTTACCTTGAAAAAACCAAACAATAAGCAAAAACGCGTGGATGAATTTTTATTTTAAAATGTGATGAAAATCGAGTTATTATGCATGCTTAAATATCGTCCCGCTTCCCCAATGGTCCCATAATTCTTCGTTGGTGCAATGTTTTGCAACCCATGTTTCAAATTCATTTTTTTCTGTCATCAATAAATCTAGAAACTGAGTTGGTGGTGAACTACTTCGTTAGCATGGAGAAATCAGTTGATTCATATGAAAAATGCCAAACTTTAGTGAAAGCTTTTATCGAAGAGCGAGCTCACCAGAATATTTGGCAATGTTTTGAGGAAATCGCAAATGGCTCTGATGCTGATTCCAGTTTTTGTAGTGATTTAGGAAATAGAGAAATATTTACAGCTTCCCCTTATACATATCTAGACAATAAGATCCTTTAGTTTGGTGAAAGCATAGTCGCAAAAAATTTCCAAATTTGTTTACACTGGCAATGAAGTATCTCTGCGCACCACTTTTCTCAGTAAGCACAGAAAGAGTGTTTAGTGCATCGGGTTGCATTTATGTTGAAAATAGAAATAGGTTGTTGCCCGGTAATGTGGAAATGCTTCTTTTCAATAATGAAAATTTAAAAATTTTTAACTCTAATTCCTAATTAGATATTATTAAATTTGATTTGAATTAGATTTTTATATTGAATCTTCTTTAACCCTTAATTAGCCGCATGGGCTCAAGGCCATTTCAAATTGAAAAAAAAAAATATCTTGGAGTGCTTGGAGCGTGTTCGCACTCTTTCCAGCTTCCTAACTCCCCGCGTGGTACGCAAATAAGCCACGGCCAGAACATCGGCGTGTACACACCCTGCAGTGAAACCCCAAACTAGTCAGGAAAAATACTAGTTTACAACTAGAATTTCCTGACTGAAACCGAACTAGTTCGAAAATTACCAGACTTGTACCAAGTACAAAACGATTTATTCATGCCCTTTTTTATTTGACTCCGACAGTTTAATACAATAGAGTACACAAAATATTATAACTTTTATTTGGGTATATTGTAAACCGTTAAAGCAAGTACGTACTCGCAATTATACCATGCCTGTTAAATAACACAGCCACACAAAAAAAAATTTGTGTTCTGACCCAAAGGTCTCACTATGTGTACTTTATGTTTTTGGGGTCGCTGAATCAGAATCCGAGGTCCATTTAACCCCATCAGTTCAGGGTTTTGATATAACCCCAGAAAACCAATATGGCGGACACCTTTTGGAAAAATTCATCGGATTCGCTTGAAACTCGTTACTCGGGGGTTTTCGGGGTCGCTAATTACGAATATGATATTATTTTTTCAAAATTCAAAATGGCGGATCCAATATGGCGGACAC